ATCGTTGAAAAACTTTGGTGATCAAGTATGTCACAATTTTGGAAATTCTACCTTCAAATTTGTTTCAGATTGCTCGAGAATCAAGGTGATGAAGATGTGGCAATTTTATTGCTAAAACGTCCTTTTTCTTGTTAGCAAAAGTCAGGATCTTATGTCGCTCAACTTCGCTGAGAACGAAGAAATCAACAATCCACAATGCAATGCTAGCCAGTTCTGTCCGCTCAAAGATGAGTATCCTTTATAAGGTATTTTCATCCCTCATATTTTATCATCCTTTTACCTGTCTTTTAACACCATGATTTAATGTACAAGGATCTTCTTATACTCGTTTTGTCATGCTGAGACTTATTGCTTTTCTGCCTAGTGTCACGGGTGGGAGTTTCACCCAAAGGCTAACCTGTTAGGTGGAGGGACCTCCCATTTATAAGCCCAAGACCTCCCCATACGCTTTCAATGTGGGATTTGTTACATTCTCTCCCACCCAATCCTGTGACGTCCTCGCACAGGTGGGGCCCCCTGCTATCCATCCCTCACTCTCATGTGGACCCACAATCATACGTGGACGCCCTGCGTGGGCGCTCGACGGGACATCGAAAGACGGATTGGGTCTGCTCTGATACCACTTGTCCGGGCTCGAGTTTCACACCAAAAGGTTAGCCTTTGGGTGTGAAACTCCCAGCCCGTGACACTAGGAATTGAATTCTAGATTGGTTCAGATCGGACTACGAGCACTTCATTAGCCATCAGTTGCCTCTTAATTTGCACAATAATTATACATTCTTAGGTTGGCTATTGTGCTACTTTAGAAGTCCAAAAGCATCTAGAGAGGAACAAAGAAAGATGTCCAGTAGCTTCCACTGCTTTTGCAGTATATTACAAGTCCTTCAGAATATGATTATAGGTGTAGGTTTTATATGTTTTCTGTTGAAAGAAAATGCCTAATTTTAGGCAAAGAGTGTTTCTTCAGTGGAGACAGATTGGCAATGTCAACTCACCTATGGCTTTTCTTTATCCATTGACAAACACTTTCCAAGAGGAAACAGAGTCGCATTGAGGCTTTTTAGACTTGAGGGTTCAGGTCTTGAGTTCAAAAGAGTGTGGGGTTCGCCCTGATTTTGAAAGATGTAGAGTTCGTTAAGCAATGTTCCAAGGCCTCGTCGAGCCCTCAGTTGAAGACTTTACCATCTTAACCATTGTACTAACAGCAGCTAGTGGAAGTGGAAGTAGCTCTTTGTTGAGGAAATTTTTTTTACTGAGATTAAGAATATTCAATTGTCCATGATTGAACTCAGGAACTGAGACATCCAAGAAAAAACGCCGGTGCCTAATCTTTTCCGTTTGATTGTTTTACTTCAGACATATTTGATCGATCAGCCAATGGGGCACACCCTTGTAGCCCTTGCACCTTAAGCCTCTATAAGAGTTTCCAGTGAGCAAGTCCAGGATTGTTGGAAATCTGTTGACTACCACAACGTATAGCACATGAAAGACCATTTAATATTTCCAGGAGATTGGTTTTCACTTCTTTCATCAGATAATCATTTTAGTCTTGAGGGCTTAATTGATTTGAATAACAGTTTAAACAAGAACAATTTCACAGTTTCCTTAATGCTTGTAGACATTCCTGCAGAGCCAGGGCCAACATTATTTTATTTAATATTAAATATTTTGATGTTTCATATTCTTTCTCTTCTCATAAGATAGTGTTTGCAGATTGCTTTATATTGCTTGAACAATGTTATTATCTTTCAGAATGGTTGTCAATGAAATGGTGTTGATTCAATACGTAAAAAGTCAAACCATATAAATTGGGCAGAGCTTATAAGGATTACAACAAAATCAAGAAATATTATTTGAACTGGTATTGAGAAGATTTATGGTTTATTATAGAATTTTTTTTTTTTGGGAGAAGATTTCATCCACACGAGGTTTTGGTCAACTATGTCGTTCTTGTTTTTAAAATACTAGGATTTACTCTCTTGAATTTAACAAAATTATGATACGCTTAATTTTAGAAATCAAATTCTATTTCCAAATTATGAGTTAACGACTTTTTTCCACCCAAATAATGGTTTAATATAATTTTCTATCAACAAACTTTTAAAATATTATTATTATCCAAATTTATATTCCGAGGAAACAGAGAGCAAACTCTATCCAGGCTATTAAGGTTTTTGAAAATGGGAGACCAATGAGTCTTTTGGTGGTGGAAGTTGGATTTTAGTAATTGGGATTGATTGAAATTTAACTTGGAATGAGCAGCTAACAAACCTCAATCACTTGATTGTTAGCGATTGGCAGGGTCGGTGGGAGTAGAGTTTAAAGGTTTTGGTGAGTGATAATTAGAAAGAGAATGGTGGTGGTGTAGGGTTGATGCCAAATCGAAAAGGGAATATAAATTTAAATAGTAAAATAGCTTTTAAAATTGTAGATAGAAAAGTATATTAGACATTATTTCGGTAAAAAAAAAGTCATTTACCTCAAATTAATTATCCATTCCTTGACGACTTATAATTAGGAGTATATCCTTACTACTTTAAATTAAACTGCAGGATTGGCCAATAAATCTAAGCGTTTATGGGGTAAATTGCAATTAACTCATTTTAATTGTAACATCAAATCAATATATCTGAAAATGGTTTTAATGTCTATGTTATGCTGTCTTTTTTATCAACACTTTTGATTCTGGGATTATCAGTCAATTTATAGCATAAAACAAAGGAAAATAAGGAAAATCTTTTGAAAATTTTAAGGTCCTACCAGCCAAATTGCGTTTGAAAAAATTGTCAATTGAAGTTGAATTTGTGCGGAGGTGATGTGATTGAAAAAGTTGTGGTACACATTCTTCAGCTAGCAATTTCGGGATTTCTAACAGATTCGATAATTGAAAACTGAAATACAAATTTTTGAGAGGTAGTGTAGATTGATGTACCCACACAAGGGGAAGAATCTTTAATCGCTAATTTCTTCTGCTTGGCAATGCTGAGGAGAGTCTAATGAGATCATATTTGCATCATACAATTCAATAATCATTCACACCCCCTTTATACATTAATTTAGGAAACAATATCTAATTCCTTCTCACAAAATATTCATGGTCAGAGATTTTTGTCTCAATTTAAATCAAAATTTTATCCTTCCTATTGCTGTGCAGACTTTTCAATGACCAAATTGTGCACTTGCCATTCACCATGACTATCAAGCTCAACGATGTACGCCTCCACAATAGATGACTTTATTAACAAGATTTCACTTAAGCATGGGTGAGCCTGATTTAGATCTAGATTAAGAGGGATTGTACATATAATTCAGTTGAACAACTTCTCAATCACTATCAAATGTGTATAAAAAGGAAGAATCACTTTGTTTTGAGGGACGGAATTATTCACACAAAGAGTAGAAAACCTACTTAGAGAGAGTTAACCTCACTTCTACGTGCGTGTTTCGTTGTAATCACTCTATGTGCAAAGCAAATACAAAACAATAATATAATAATGACCAGAGACTTGATCCTAAAACTCCGAACCATTTATAAATCATCTTTGCTCTCTTATAATCTCTTTGATAATCTTTTCCAAGCTGATATTCTAATCACTTACATCTTACTATTATGCTAAGGTCGATTAAGTATCTCTAGTTGTTATGTTTTTACATAACAACACCTATATTTAATTAACAAGAGACTTAACTTGTTAAACAAATGAAACATTATAATTACAAGTCTTGATGACTTTATGACATTTAAATCATTCCTTGATTGTAAAAGAAAAAATTAGATTTTATTAAAGTATAAATTAAGGGAAAATTATTGGAAAGCAAGTATGGTTCTAGAATTTACATGAACCAAACATTGAATGTAGGTAGCTTTGGGCTAATGCAATTGTGGGCCTATGGAATGGAATCAAGCTTGGAACTTCGACACTTGTTAAGGTGATTCTTGATACTATTTTTAATTACTAAAAATTTATCAGTTTTTTAGTGTTCATTTTCATTTAATGGTTTCGCCGAAAGGGTTTACCACTTTTTACACGTGTGTGCATTGTTGTTTTTTGTTAAATCTTTTATTAATTTCATCACTAATCTCATATTAACTATAATAATCTTCTTTTTAAATTATTGATCTCGAATTTCGGCTACATTTGATTTCTGTACTTTAATCACTGGCTGCAATTGGAAACACGTGTATTCTGCCTTTTGTAAAGAGCCTAAAGTAAAATGGAACATGGTCACTAATTCATTATTATTATTTTTAAACGATGAGAGTGTTTGAACAGTTTATACGTACTTCAGATAATCTTTAAAACCTAAGAATTATTAGTCAGATAAGAGCTCTAGTGGTTATCTTATTAGTAATCGAAAGAGGCTTAATTTCCGATACCTTAAAATTATCGACTAGGTTAGAGCTTCAGTGGTTACCCTATTAGTAATTGAACAGAAACTTAAACTCAAAACACTTGAGTAATACAACAAAGTCCTATCAAATCACTGACCACCGAGAGGTAGTTATTACATTAATTTTTATTCAAAAATGTTGATGCTTTGATGATCCATTTTAATAAATAATATATAAAAAAAATTATAATTTTGTTGTTATATATTTATAAGAATGTAAATTGATTATTATTGAACTAATTTCTATTATATTAACAAATTTTTTTTCACAACCTCGGTGGGACAACTCACAATTAGTTAACTCACAAATAGGTTTTGTCTGCTCGTTAGGGTCTCACATGTCTATTGCGAGCTGTTATGTCGGAGTTGTAAAAGAAAGTTGTAAGAGGTTTAGAAGTCAAATATTATCAAGTTATATATTATTTGTATATTTCTTTTTATATAAATCACAAAATTTGGAATATAATAGAAATTAGTTAAGCAATAATATCAATGGTCATAAATTTGTGTTATAATAGTCTAACCCGATAAATAAAATAAATGAGAAATTGGGATAATATATTGTTGGAAATTAAAATTTCTATTATATGGTTAAAACTTACATTGGCACATTGTGTGTACAAAATACTAAATCTAATTTTTGTTCATGAAGGGTTACAATATCATTTGACAACCGTCGGATGAAAATTCATGAAAAGGTATAGTGTTAATCATCAAAAGTCACGTGGGTCAACAAAAATAACTGAGGAAGACGATCGTGATTTCATCCAATCAGACGGTGCACATTTTTCATCAGAGTCGTCCATATCATCCTTAAGTTTCTTAATGCACCACAAATCAGCCCAAGAGAATTTCCTCCAATGAGGAATGGTCTCTCTGACTGGGTCCCTTGGGCCTACTTCAGCCACCACGGCCCCACATTCCCCATCATCTCGGCCCATATTATGAGCAAATGCACACAGAGATTTCATCAGGCCCGGCCCATTTTTGCCTTCCATATGCAGCCCGTACAAGAAATACAACCCGAATTTCCGAAAAACGTCCGGAAACGAAGGCAGCCTCAACCATGGCATCCAAGCATCAAGCAACCTTGAACCCATACACCAAGCATATGCCAACGGAGACACTCCCTTCACTTGCAATTTGAACACTTCCTTAGTGTTCCACACACTTAAAATCGCATAACTCGGCGGAAGAATGTCAGTTCTTGGATCCCATTTCGGGAGAAATTTTTTGGGCACGGCCATGAAAGTACCCAAATTAAGTTTGCTAGACAAAATCAAGTCAACATCTTGAGGGAAAAACTCCGAGTTCACGAAAACTCGACGATAGATGGATTCAGCTAATCTTTCGGGTAACCGAACAATGGATACACTCGAACTTATTGACTTGTAATGAGCATGAACCGGTTGGACCAACATTGTCAGGGTACGAAACTTGATGTATGAACATTTTTTGGTGAATAAATTGACAGAAGGCTCATTGGTACAATCTGTGGCCATGTATGAAAATTCAGCACCAATTTGTTTGCACCATTCTTCAAGTTTAAGGACTAGTTTTGTGCCAATATTGAGCCTTCTGCATAATAATATTATGCCAAGTGTGAGATTGAGAATAGAAAGAAAGTGTTTAATACAAGTTTGGACTAAGTTAGCTGGATGGTGACAAGTACAAAGAAAATATCCATGAAATGAGCATGAATGGTGACAAGATAAAGAATTAAATAAGTAATGTTGGTTACTTTATGAAGTGGGGTTTAATGAGTTTGGAAAAAAGTAGGGAACATTTTAGAAGAGGGTGGCTATATTATAAAAAATTCTTGATCATAGTCACATCCATGGTGGGCTTCTTTATTTAGATAATGACATATCTCAATATAAAAAAAATTGTAAATAAAGAAATTAATTGGAAAATGGACCACCCAACAAAGGAGAAGAAAGAAATAAACAAGAATAGAAGGGAGACATAGTGTCTACAAATGGAGAAGAAAGGTAAAGTAAATAGTGGATACAAAAAACAAGTGTCAAGGGAGAGACTAGGCTAGCTGGCTGTTGTCTTCTTTCCATGATACGAGGAACAATTTGTTCTCTTTATTGTGGAATCTAATCGCTCTTTTTGGGGTGGTGGGAATTCAACTGGGATTAAAACCAAAACTTAAGTAAATGCCAAAAACACATGAATAATTAATGCTAATGCATGCTTAATAATCTCTCTCTTTTTCTTTGGGAAAGAGAAAAACTGAAAAGACACTTTGTTTCTTCTTCTTTCTTTATCTTCTGTCATGCATGGTGAAATATAGATATATCGTGCACATTTATATTCTGTAACGGTTGAAGAAATCAAAGGAGAAATTAATGAATTAAAACCTGTGAGATGGGGAGACTCTAAGTCCGAGAAGATAAGCCAGTTTTACAAAACCTGAAGCTCCTCTTGTCACTGTTTTTACACAGCCTCTTATAACTCCCACAATTTCCCTTTCTTTTCCATACTCTGCAACCTGTAAATTGAACAAAACCAACATGATAACTTACACGTATTTTGAACTCTCTCGATGCTAAATAATCTTTCTTAACATGTAGAGCTGGGTATACATTTACCAGGACGATGTGAGAAGGGAAGTGGCGAACTCGACAAACGGGATCACCCATGAGGTCAGTGACAAGAGTTGGCTTGCCTCTCTGACCGATTTCACAGAGTCTCTCTATCTCCTCCACGGCCACCTTATCATTTTTCTCATCATACTCTCTCACAACCACCAAATTACACTCTTTCACTACTTCACCACCCAACTCCGGGGGAATCTCAGCGGCTACCTTGGTTGACATGATAGAAAATTATATGAAAATGAAAAGGAATGGTAGAATTAGAGAAGTGGTAATGAGATTTTTGGAGGTTGTGTTTCTCCTGGTTTCATCTATGGAAATATATATATATATATAGGTGGTGGAAAAGCTGATTCATGTGGCAGCTTGAGCAGTTGAGTGGACTGCTTTTTCTAGTCATATAATGTGACAGTGGGAATTATAGTTGATCACATTTTGTTGTCAAGTAGCCACAAGATGTATATACTCTTGTGAGAGGATGATTTTATTAATGGATAAGATAATGGTTACAATTATTGCTTCTTCATAAGCCTAGATTATTATTATTATAATTATTAATCTTCTTTTTCGTATGCTTATTCCATAATCAGAGATATGATTAATTATGATGATCGATCATCAGTATATAATGATGCCATTATTATTAAGCATAGTGGCTTTGGCGGCTTGATTATCTCATTATGTCACACTTTATTCTTTTATTTTATTTTTTTATTTTATTTTTTTTTCATATCTTGGGATATTCCTCTTATTTTAGTTTCACACTTATCCCTTACTTATTCACCCAAAATTTGGCCAATTAATTACTTCTCGGTCATAACCAAATTGATTAATTACTTTTGAATTTTTTTTAAAAAAAAAAAACCATCCCAAATGACTAAGTAAAACGATAGAGACTCTTAAATGTATTACTTAAGAAGTATAAAGTTTGACTGTCCTCAGTTGTCAATAGGTGTGGCCACTGGAAGATTTACCTTGTCGTTAACTTTAGGGTCTCAAAGATTAGTCGAGATACGCGTAAGTTGATCCGAATATCCGCGATCATCCATAGTAGCTAGGAAGAGGTTTGGTTAGTTAAACATGTTGATAGTTTTTTCATATAATTAATTTGAGTATAATCTTTTTAAGGGTTGATAAGAAAATAGAAATCAAATATGTGTTTGACCCTAGAGAATCTGGTCCCATATAATATTACTTCCCTCTAACCAATTATTGGTGAAAGTGGTAAGAACAATGCCTATCACCACGTATTTGGTGAGCATGTGGATGATCTTATGACACTCATCATCATCATCATCATCATCATCATCATCATCATCATATATATATATGAATTCCTAACATGAAGTATATTTGTCAAATGAGTCGAATTTATTGACATAATATAAATTTGTATGATAATATAATAATTTTTTCTATAATGACATAACATTCATATGATATGTGTGTAAAAATATGCATGACATAATTAATTAATATAGATGTCTATATATATATATATTAATTCGAACTCATACTAGATGTTCTAAAATATTTGTGTTCAATGTACAGACATCATTTGATTGAAATGCAAACTTTGGTGACAAAGGGTTTTGTAATTTTCTTGTTCTTTTCCAAAAAGAAATTAGATAATTCAAAAGATACATGCTATTTCTTTCCTATTTCCTATTTGTGATATGCAAGAGGTATTGTCCAATCCATCAATCTCAAAAGAAGTAATCTACATTTAAATTCTAGTGAAGCGATGTACCAGACTAGTTTGCGCATCTCAACTAATCTTTTGGGGTCTTGAAATTATCAGCTAGATAAGAACCCTAATAATCATTCCTATTAGTGCATAGAGAGACTCAAACTAAGAAACTCATAAAACATTTTCTTGTTCTTTTATCATCAGGTCTCCCAATCCTAAGATCTTATTTCTTAGAGATAAGCTTTACCCATTTATTATGGAGCAACATCACTCAAATCAACAATACCCATTTGGTAAAAGTCTATCAAAGCTTAGGGAGATTCATATTATAAATGTAGTAACAAAATCTGGAATAAATTGACTAGAGCAAAAAATTGATACATTAGGGGATAAAAAGTTGTGTATAATGTGTGAGAGAGAATAATAAAATTTTGTGACAAATGTCATATGCATTGGGAATTGGGATATTGATGATAGTGATGAATCATCTTGGATAAGTCTTGTTCGCAACCAGATGTCAAATATTTTAATATTATGAGTATGAAATCACTTGTCCTCTAGGTGCCACCATTTGATATCCTACTCCCTTGCAACTACGCAATTATGATGGTGCAGCTCCTTATTCAATGTGGGTTCAAGATGATTGGTACATCTCTTGATGACTTCGCATGCTATTTATCATTTCCTGAAAAACCAGTTCCTCTTTCATCTGCTACCACAGACTGCCAACAGCAAGCATTTCACAACTTTTTTAAAATTATTATATACTCTTTATCCAAGGGTTTTCTTCATCCTATATCATGGGGCGGAATAAATTAACCCACAAAAGTAATTTAGCAACTTATTTGTACAAAAAATCTATAGGGTTGATTACGGTCAAGAATATTTACTTCATTGTTTGATTTTTAGGTTCAAACATTAGGACCACCTATCACATTTATAACTTACTTTAGAACATTAGGTTTGTAGGGTGTTGATACGAAAATTCGCACCATCTAGAAAGATCTGATAGACCTTGGTGGAATTGGAACGAATGTAGGCATGATTACGGATAATCAGCGATAGGTGAATGATAAGTGCAACAAAGTAAAAGACAATAAAATTTTTAAAATGGTTTCGTAGGTAACCTCTTATGCCTACATCCACTGTTTTTATATTCGTTGTGAGAGCTTGCAATGAGACTTCTATGGAAAATTTCTAACCCATTTTTCATCATTTGAGGGGGTTTATACAAAAGAAAAAGCGAAAATAAAGGGATTACAATTGATCTGAACTACAATTCTAATATTCTCGCGATTAGGCGCTGTGATTGTGCAAAGATTGTTGTTAATCTGGTCATTCTCGTAATATCTAGGATCTAAATTTATCTAGGAATTGATTGAATGATCATTCGGGTTATTCACGACTAGCTTGTGTTGGGCCGAGCTATATGTCGACGAGCTTATGCTAGGTCAAACAACTGGTAGAGTCGACTGATTTTGGGTTGATCTAATACCTCGCAACTCACCAAGCTTGATGAAAAAATCACACGCAACATCTACCCCTAGTGTTTGATGCTCGTTTCAGGCTTCGAAAACTATTGCTCGATTTGACATCAAGCTCGGAACCACTAGCAAGTCGTCAGATGTAGGTTCGATCAAGCTTCAAGGGTTAACCTCACGTCCGACCGACTTACTTCACACTTGGACTTTCATTTCCTTTGATACTTGGCAAAACTCAGAAAATGAAAAGTTAGGGCAAATATGTAATTTTCATGCGGTCATGTCGCATTAAATGCGGCAGCCTTTGTCAGTCACGTTTTATCATGCGTGGGCAACTACAGCGGTCCACACGCAAAGTCAAGGTGACATGCGACGACGGTTATCATTGTAATAGTCCAACGGTTCATCACCCCCCACGGATGGATGACACGTGGCTACATCTAAGGGCTGAGATTACTCGACAAATGAAAGGTCGAGATTCACTATTAATCGACCGCTGCGATTAAACCCCGCCATTTCGTCTTCCATGCAAACCACTATAAAAGGTGGCGAAATCGTTAGAATACTCATTCAATCCACAAAAGTTTTCTAACGCCTTTGTTCACTTTGCTGCTATTTCATCATCGTTATGATGCTTTCTAGCGAGTTTTTTCACTTCTTTTGTTCCGATAAGGTTCTTTTCCCTTTGTTTATCCGTTTTTCCAATTTTCACGTCAAAGGATGGCCATTATTGTGGCCACATTGAGTGTTCTAGGGCCTTAGTAGGGTTTTTGGGTGCCTCTAGCGGTCTTGGGTTTAAAATGGGTTTAACGCGATAGTCGCCAGAACCCTGGGTAGGTCAAGTGCGTTCGTAGTGTGGTGCGAGTTATCTTGGATGCCTGAACTAAAAGCAAGTGTGAAATGGTCGCTGAGTTTTTCAAGCTCTGACACATGTTCGCTTCTGTTTCAGGTACCCAAAAGCGAGCTATAATCATGTCTTCCTCCAACAGTCACACAATCGATCACATGTTCGACTCGCCAGTGGGCTCAACAATACTTGGGGATGTAGCTCCTAAGGTCTTGAAGGAAACCATCACGCGAAGCTCGGACCCCGATGCTACGGGCTCTTTAGACCGTGCCTCAATATAGTTGGCTCAATCCAAGCAGTCTCCAGTCCATAGGCTGTGAAGAGAACCACAATCCTCGATTACCATCGAGTATATGGAGTGCATAAGAGTGGTCTATGTGTAGCAACTTAATTTGATGGTTCTGGGGGATTCTTATCGAAATAATCCCTCACCCGAATGGTGGCAATCTCTGAGACCATCTTGAGATGCGAGGTATCCACTCCTCCTCATCATTTTATTAACAGCGTGTTAAGGCAGTTCGACATTGTTCCTTTCCAGCTGTTTGCAAATTCGTATGTAATTATCATCGCTTTGTACATAGGGTATGCGATCATTGAATTAGGCGAGCCATCCATCGAGAAGCTCATCCATCTGTATAGGCTCAAGAAGGGGCAAGGCTAGATGTACTCCCTTTCCAAGGCAAGAAAGGTACGTTTTAACGGGCTAGTCGATGTCCCGAAGAAGGTTCCGCATTGGGACTTGCAATTTTTCTTCTACAAAGCCCCGGAGACCCGCCCCTTCGCTTTAGAAGTGAGTAAGACTTTGACTTTCCGTGCGTGCGAGGATCACTTTCGAGCTTTGTATTCTAACTAACTGAGTTACTTTGTTTTATAGTCAACGTCAAGCAGAACTATCTCCCTGTTGTGAGCTTTCAAAGGCTACAACATTTTAGCAACCTTCCCAACAGACAGCGTAATGTTAACAAGATTGTCACGCTTCTTCACTTGAAGGCATATGGCTTCTGTCGAGATGACGCCAAGTTTCCTACCATTTTGGAAAAAGGTTAAGTTATCGTTTACTCATACTCTTTTTCCAGTGTGGATAAGTCACTCACTGTTTGCTTCTTTTTTGTAGAAATAAGAGCCAAAAAACCAAAAGGGCTTAAGAAGAAGGCGACAACCTCGATGACCGCCAAGAAGACATCGACTACTTTGGCGATGAAGTAGCCCACTAATATTGCCAACGTGAAACGCAGCGGTGGTGAGCTTGGGAAAGGCCCA